CCATCCTCTCTGTTTCCATACCCACCCAACTCTTACCCATCCTCCTCCTATTTCCCTCCCAACCCTTCTTCTTCCCCCATAAAGCCCATTGGTTCGATTGCGGGGAGCCAGAGAGAGAGAGAGGGGGGGGGGGAGCGTGGTCGCTACAATATGAATGTGGAACATCATCTCGACAGGCGCTCATCCCGATACGATACACATATCAGTGCGGAAGTTTCGTTATCACGGAGCTAAAACCTCGGATTGGATCGTGCTCGGGGATCCGCACCCCAACCCATCACGGGCTGCCTGCTTATCATCTCCTCGAACTGATCGCGGGGCACCGGCGAAGCTCTCTCGGACAAAACGGCGTAAAGAATAAAAATAATTGATAGAATCCGGGCGCGGAGGTGCGCTTTTTTGCTCGCCTTGCGCTCCGTCGATCTGCGAACAATCGGCACTTAATTAACATTGCTCGGTTTAGTCACCACGGTTCGCCGACGAGCCGAGCGCAGCGTTAACGTGTTTTTTTATTGTCGCTTCCAGTCGCAGCATCAGCAACAACAGCCGGTGGTGTGAGAAGAAACTCCGACCACTATAACGCTACCCAGTCGAGGCAGTTGACTTTTCGTCGTGGGGCCCGCCCAGCCAGGCGAATCCTTCTTTTCCGTTATTCACGGTGCAAAACCGCTACGGTGCTACACAAAAGTATATGACGGCAAGTTAGACGAACGAAAAGTAATATAAAAGTGTGGGGGCGGGCCAGGCGGAGCGGAGAGGGACGCGGTGGGACTTGGCCGGTGGCAGGGGCGGGGTCGGCCACCAGTTCCGCGCGGGCGTGCTGAGCTGCCTACCTACCGGGCGCGCTCACGCGGCGAAGGAGTGACACTGGCGCGAGTGTTGGCAGATCTCGTGGCCGTGGCGCGGATCGGCGCACATTAGTGCCGCGTTAGTGCATTGTACCGTGGCGTTAAAAAACACACTTTTACATGCTTTTACTCTCGTGATTTAGTATAGGAAATGAGACTCCACAGGGACGGAGGAGAAATCGGGTCTCCACCTCTTTTTTGCCAAAGTGATACACAAATATGTCGGGCGCGTTCACGCGAGTCCCGGCACTGGCCGTGCTCTGACCGCGAGGCTCTGTTCGAGGCCATCGAGGCCTTGCCCCAGGCCTCTGACCCGACCTGGCTTCTCCCGTAGAGATACGCCGGCCCTCGGACGGCCCGCTGACGCCTCTGCGATCCCGCAGGCGCTCTATTTAGGAAAAAAACACACAAAAAACACTGCAATGAAATCGGGAAAACTTAGTAACTATATGGTGACAATGGGACATTTATACGATCGAGGTCTTGTTATTATTAATAACATTCCACTCTTCTGCCATGTCGTCACGTACTTATTCGGGCCGAATGCCAAAGTTCACGTCGGTTCGTGTTTGCGTCCCCCGAGTGTAATGCGCAGCGGTAATCACGATCCCTTCTGTCCGGGGCGATAACGGCACTGTAACGATGTAACGATATGGCTCCGGGTCACGATCCCATTCGAAGCACAAAACTGGAACTTTGGAGGAAACAAATAAGAAGCGGAGGGGGAAGCCCCAATAACGCGCGCGCTGCAGGTCGTGGAGGCCGCGCAAAGTAATATAATAAGCTAAGTGCGCACGGAGAATAATCAGACAAGAGGAAAGAGCGGGGAGCCATTCAACTCAACCACATCTGGGAAAAAAATCGATTTGAATTTTGCAGACACTTGCCAAAAACAGCCCAAATCGACCTTAACAACGTTCCCTGCTGCATGGCCACTATGTGGTCACGCTCCCATGTTAAATCATAGGGACCAAAAATTAGCCGCAGGGAATGTGGTAAGGGTATATGGACATTTGCAATCGGTTCATTTGTTCATTTCGGTTGATTTCATGAAATCCACTCTGGGTTTATAAGACAATGAACGAAGGTTCTTTCAAGAGTGTGATCTGTTTTCTTTATTTTTCCGACCTTAGTTGTAAGTCCACATTGGCATTCCTAACCCAAAAGGCGGGCGCCTCGTCAGTTATCGGAAGAGTCTTTCAAGGCCCAAAAATTTGTACTCTGTGGAAAATCGGTCATAACATAATGGAAATGTTTTTCGGACGTGGTCGGAAAAGTCCATGAAAAAAAAAATGCGTAGCTGCCTGTTTGTTTCATCCTTCTCGCAACTATTGAGCAATTAACGAACACATTGTTACGTGCTCAGAGAATGTGTGCTTTAATTGCTCCTTGGTTGTGCAGACTTCGTCGCTTTCCGCGGAGGCTGGCTGTCCGCCTGCACGCGACACCGGGAGGGATCAGGGATGGGAGGTGAAGGTTCAGCGCGTCCCGAATCAGTGGGACCCCCCATCCGGCTGCTCCTTTGACCCGCGGAAGGGTTTGCGCGGCAGCACTATCACAGCGTTCATCTTCAAACTGTTTATTGATTGCGCTCAAATATACATTGCGTACGGACAGACTATCGATGTATATTTTCCCTTTCACGAGTTTGTGGCAATCAAAACGACCGCCTATCTCTCTGCGGGGACACGCTGACTCCGCAGAAAATGAAAAATGCAGACATAACTGCTCATCACGCAATCTTCGAAATAAGTAAACCAGCTTTTGAATCCATGTATGTGGTAAACAATTGTAAGACCCTAGTTTCCTAGTGACACACTTTGCTGTCGAGTTTTCATTTTTGCGCCGCGAGAGAGTTTTTTTGCCGGGTCATGAACAGTGTCTGATACCCTATTGCTCCTGCTTGGTGGAAGGGGTGACCCGCCTCTTCGCCGCCCAATGGCTGTTGGGTGACAAGTATAGTGCGGGCAGTGGGAGTGGAGGGAGGTGTGAATGGTGCGATACAGCGATGGGCTGTGTTCCGAGGGGAGGGACCCACGACTCAGAAGAATTTCGTGTGCAGAAAAATGTTTAAAAGTCAAATACTCGTGAACAGTAGCTGAATAATTTGAATAAAAGGCCCTCTCCCTTTCGCCCCTCTAGTGATGCCCCCTATATTGTGCCCCAGCATTCTGAATAGAATCTATCGACAAAACCACACAATACTGATTGGGTATAGCAATACTGTCAGTTGTGTTCCTCGTCTTTTCTTTAAACTGAACCTCATCGACACTGTGAGGACGGGGAGCTATTTGTGTTGTGCGATCAGATCTCAGCCTCATGGCGACTCACCGATCTGTAGCCAATGCCACCCCCTCTCCCTTGACGGCGCCCAGGTGACATTGAGGAGGCCCCCACCCTCCTCAGCGCCCCTAGCTCAGTTGCACCGGCCAGCTGTTGTCGGCAAGACCCCGCAATAACGGCCTAAATGGCCTAAATGCAGGTGTACCGAAGAAAACGTTTTCTCTGATATTTTATTAAAATTCAGCGAAACTGTCTGACACACTGTCCGCGTCGCGGCGTCTTGTCTAGTTCGGTGGGTTGTGAACAGCCTAGCAAAGAAACAGCTACATTTTTTTACACAGAACATTTTTTCTAAATCACGAAATTTTTAACATCAACTAAGTTTGTTTTCTTGATTTGTTTTATTAGCCATTGTTTTTTTTTCTTGTAAACTTTACATACAACTGGCGCTAGATCGAGTGCAGTGCAGTGCGGCGGTGAACAGTGTGGTCGAGGCCTGTCCGCTAATGATCTTCGCCTCCCACCGCTAACTACTCTAGACGGCGACGGGGCCTCCCGGAGCCGCCGGCGCGGCCGGGGGTGCTAGAGCCTCTAGAGACTAAGAGGTGCCGCTCCGCGAGAGGATTGTTGTTTGCGCGCGCAGCGCCGCACGCACCGAGCAAGAGGGGGAGGTTCAAGGGCGACAGGGACCACCCCGCCACTTTCAAAATCACTGGCGCCAATGGACCTCGGGCCCTGAGCCGACCGCGGGCAGAGGGGGGAGGGGG